CTGCTAAATTAGGGACGGCTAGCGCAGATAGCTCTCGTGTAGCTTTGCGTGAAATTCATAACAAACAAACTATAAAAAAAACCTTCGCACTTTCCGGTCGTTATCCAAAGGTCATAACGGAGATTGCCTTAAAGTAGAATAAATACCACCTTACTAATTCTACTGCTATTCTACTTTAAGAATATTTTAGAACTTTTAAGGGTGGAGGATCGTAGGCATTGTTTAGTAGAAATATATATATATATACATTGGGTGGCTTAATTTTATCTAATTTCTACTTTTAACTTTATTACATCTTTTTAAGGGTAACAGCCTTCTCACAACTGACTGCAGACAGTGAAAAGCAGTAAGAGTTGAGACGTTGTAGGTGTAAGCACTAAACTCTGTACCCTTAATGAATTTTCCACGACTGCTGACTGGTTTCTCATCTGCTTTTGGGATTTTTGTCTGATAGATGGGATATCCCTAACGCTTTTGGGTTCTATTACCACAGACAATCTCCGATATGACTTTTGGATAACGACCGGAAAGTGCGAAGGTTTTTATTTATTTTTTGTTTTTTAAATAGAGTTTTGAATTTATAATAAGTTCGTTATTGTTTTACAGTGCTGATCTTGATCGCCTATTAACAATCAATGTAATTAATGTAATAGTTTTGAAGCTCTACCTATTATTATTTATATATATATGCATACAGATATGAATGTAAGCCTCTTAAAACGAAATGCTTCTGAAAACACCATCAATGAAATGTCATACAATTATTAAAACTTGATTGTGTATAATGCGAATAAACAGTAGGATCTCACAGCCACAGCTGTAAGATATATGGGTAATACAATCATAACAGTGAGAAATATATGTATAACAATAAGTCTCGTGGGGTAAAACAATCAGAAAACTAAGACACGTTTAGTACCATCATAAGATCGATAAAAATTTGTGCTATAATTTTAAGAGCCAAGTACAAAAAACAAATGAAAAACCCTCACTGTCGTGACAGTATCCCATACACATTGTTCACTGCCTTGACTGTATTCTACGTGACCCACTGTCATAACTGTATCATACATCGCATGGAAGGAAGACATTATCTCAAACTAGCACTTTGAAATTAAACAAATCATGTAAGTGACTGTTTGTTCACAATATCAAAATGTTTATTTTACTTAATGAAAGTACTATCCTTAAACTAGATAACACCCCCAATTTCAGCAACATTCCTTAAAAAAGGCGGATTTTGAAATTAACGTTAAACAACGGATATGATCATGTTAAAAAATAGCTTTGCTTTACACAAACACGTCATTAAAGTACACATCAATCTCAAGCAAAAAACGAGGGTAGTGTCGACAGACAATTTGTGCAATGTTTAAAGATACTTACACAAACAAAATGGTCGGCTGTGCTATTTTGCTGTAATCTGTCTATCTTCCAAGCTAGCTAAATCTTTTGCATCAAGCTATTCACGCATGTATTGTGCTGTCTTGCAATTTAAGCATAGCTTTTCTAACGACTTATCTTATGACTGTATCAAAATGTGTCTTACTGTTGTAATTGTACAACACACTTGCTTCAATGCCATGTCTGTGTCACACGTGTGACTTGCTTGGCTATCCAATATTCACTAACAAATTCACGTATAGTCTCTTCATGTCCTTTAATATAGTCTCATGATATTTGAGTTAAAATATGTGCTTAAATTATAAAGTGAGGGGGAATTAAATGCTCAACGGCTTGACTAAAATAGATAGAGGAGCAACGAAACACGTAATCCAATTGAAAATAGTATTGATCAAGTTAGTATGCCGTAATCCTCATTATCTATTCACAACTTGTATATTCAACGGAACAATACAATGGAACGAAACAGGCCAAAATGATAAAAACGGTAAACAATTTTGTCCACTACGTAAGCCGTCGAGTCATTTTCTATTGTTTTATTTCCACGTTTACCACTTTATGGTCGGGTTGTTGCTCAGAATTTCATTGTGTAAGTTAGATACTCACTTCAGCACAGTGTTGAAGATAGGAAAATCTCACGTTACGGTTATCGTTAAAGGTGAGCTTTTAGTAATTACTCGATTTTATACTGATTTTATATTTCATATTTGTTTAATATTAAACTGAAATAGCACATTGACAATATTTATTTATTTAAAGGTGAGCTTTTAGTAGTTACTCGATTCTATACTGCAGCTAATTTTATATTTCATATTTGTTTAATATTAAACTAAAATAGCATATTGACAATATTTATTTATTTAAGGGTGAGCTTTTAGTAGTTACTCGATTCTACACTGCAGCTAATTTTATACTTCATATATGTTAAATATTAAACTAATATATCGCATTGACAATATTTATTTATTATTTGATAACATGATCATGATGTTTGCATTCTAATTCATGTGCAGTTCGTGTTTAATGTTATTAAAGATTTTATTATTATTCTGGATTCTCTGCTTTCGCCAGAGGGCACTGAGAGCTACAGTAGTTTGGAAAATACCAGCTTAAAAGTCCTATTTGTTTAACTTCTAGGAAAGTTATTTTCAACAATTAGATTCTACCAAAGTTGTTAAATCACAAAGGTGTCTTAAGGTGGTTGAAGTATGGAAGTAAACGTGCTTCAACATAATGACTTCACAAAGGAGCCTAATACTGAAATTTTGAATAAACAATTGTGAGCAATATAAGTTTCGAGAAACTCACGTTATTCCAGGAATGGACATGCAGTCTTGGTGTTTATCGGTTAATAGATTCTACTAAAATAACTCTTCAAGATAATGTTTCTCGCACTTTATTACTTTCACCTTTCAATATTGATTATAAAACAGAGTAATATTAAAAGAAAATTGTATCAATTTCACCCTGTTTATGTCACGGTTATAAAAATTAAACACACTTCCATAATTTAATCACCCCTTCTTCCTCCACCTCTTAGCAACTGGTAACAAACGTTGTATACTAAGGAAATTGGTAAAAAACAACAATAAACATTCACTTTAAACAAGCATGGTCCTGTTGTAAATGGCGTTATGGGTCTTAAAGATTCAGTGTCGTTCAAAACACATTACCCGTCAATCCTTCAATTTTGTGAAGAACTATTTTTGTCAACGTCTACAAACTATCGTAAAAATAAATATGTTTATATGTATAGTGTTTAGAAATGCAGCATATTGAGACAACTAATTTATTATTGTGAGTTATTCACCCGGCAAGCTATTTATAACACCAAAATATATATATGGTTTTAATTTGGTTGTCCTATCTTACTAATTATCAGAAAGTGGTAATTCTAGCCTGAAAGTTAGTTAAGCATGATTATCCCCCCCCCCAGTGACACAGCGGTAAGTCTGAAGGCTTATAATGCTAAAAACTGGGTTTCCTACCCGTGGTGGGCACAGCACAGATTGCCTATTGTGTAGCTTTGCGCTTAACGGCAAACAAGCTGATAAAAACATGATTCAGAAACTAAAAATACAGCACTGTGCCTCTAATCCGCAAGGTGCTAACATTACGAAATCTGATTTTCAAGCAACGGTAACAAGTATGTTTGTTTGTTTGTTTGTTTTGTAATTAAGCACAAAGCTACACAATGGGCTATCTGTGCTCTGCCCACCACGGGTATCGAAACCCGGATTCTAGCGTTGTAAGTCCGCAGACATACCGCTGTGCCACTGGGGGGCAAACAAGTATGAAAAGTACTAAACATAACGTTTAGGATTTTTGCTAAAATGTAACAATTACAGCTTTCAGGAAACAGTTTGTTTGTATTTGAATTTCGCGCAAAGCTACACGAGGGCTATCTACGTTAGCGGTCCCTAATTTAGCAATGTAAGACTAGAGGAAAGGCAGCTAGTCATCACCACCTGCCGCCAACTCTTGGGCTACTCGTTTACCAACGAATAGTGGGATTGAACGTCACATTACAACGCCCCCAGGGCTGAAAGGGCGAGCGTGTTTGGTGGGACGGGGATTCGAACCCGCGACCCTCAGATTGCCGGGCATTCAGAAACTTTGAGAACTCCAGTGCCTCAAAATCTTATTAAGTTTTTAGTTAACTTACTTCCCAAAACTATTTAGAAAACCTGCAAAGCAATAAAGCTACTTGCAATTATTGGCCTGTCTATTTTATATTCATGAAATATTTTAAACGCTCTCACTAACCAGTCACTCGAATGTTGAACATTAAGACAACGAACTTCAACAGTCTGGTAGATATGTTGTTTAACTATATGTACACCTTACTCACTTCTGCGACACACATGGCTGGTCAAAATGTAGATATATGTGTTATACTAGCAAAATGAATTTTTATAACAATGTATCCTATTATTAGACTCCCGTGTATATTTTATTTTTGTCCCCCGGTGGGACGGCTGTAAGTGTCTGCGGATTTGCAACGCTAAAATCCGGGGTTTGATTCCCCCACGGTAGATACAGCAGATAACCTAATGTGGATTTGCTTTCAAACAAATAGACATTTTATTTGAATGTTAGTTTAGTTATCAAGAATATGTAACATATTGATAAGATTGATAACACAGTCCTTGTTGCGTGATTCACAATTGAAATAACTTATCAGTGCATGATAATAATTTCACTGATGACAGTATACTGAAAACTGAAGCAGGTAATTATTCTCGAATTGAGAAACCACATGATGTTTCATGGCGCCATCTAGTAAACACAAATAACTACAAATCACAAAATTTCATTGGGCAAAGCAGAAACAGACACTTAATTGCATGCTTACGTAATTTACATAACATACAAACAGTATCAAAGATTAAAGTCTGTTAACCTGATAAGATTCACGCATTTTGCTGCGACTTACTTTCAATTATATCGGTGTAGTTTTATATCAGTTCGTTGCTTGAGTATCTTACTTATAATATCTTAAGTTGCTTATAAGAGTGATTCTATTTTACACAATCTCTGGCCGACGGTTAAAGTTGTGTAGCTTTTTTATGAATAAGGAATGCCCTAACAACCTGGTCATGTCAGGCGGGATTGAAATATTAAAAAATATTGCACTTAAACGTTTATCATTCTCAATTGAGAGCACTATCTAAAATAAATATAGCCCTAGTTACGGATATATAAAAAATGTCATTAAGCATTTCAAAATTATTGTACCTGGTTAAAATTACTGGTATGAGTTTTATGATATTTTGTCCTCTGTTATGCGTTGTTATTTTTGTATTTGAGTCAGATCATGGCGGGTGAAATCCGAAGAATCTTAAATCTGTTAATAGTCTGTTTATGTTTGAATTGTACTTTCGTTTTTACGTGAAAAATATACAGATTTTAAATAAAATAATGCGCTCGACTCGCAATCTGTGGGTCGTGGGTTCGAATTTCCTTCACACTAAACATGCACGCTCTTTTAGCCGTAGGGGCGTTATAATGATGATCAATCCAACTATTCGTTGGTAAAAGAGTAGCCCAAGAGTTGGCGGTGGGTGGTGATGACTGGCTATCTTCCCTCTAGTCTTTCACTGTTAAATTAGGAACGGCTAGCGCAGATAGACCTCGTGTAGTTTTGCGCGAAATTCATTACAATCAAACCAAATATTTCAATTCTTAGTTCCTGCTTTATCTATACCGTATGAAATATATCATATTCAACACACAAAAGGTGATATGAACAACCAATGTATCTTCTTTGTAACACTTTAAGACACAAAATAAAATTTACGTTTTGTATTTACAGCAAAGCTTCTAAGACTATTTGTCACCGTCTCTAATTATGAATAACTGGCCAGAGGAAAGGCAGACAGTCAGCAGCATCCTACCATTTACTCTAAAGGGTTGACTGTCACTCTTATAGTACACCTACAGCTCAAAGAGGCTACGATTTATAGAAGGAAAAACATAGTTTTACCTGTGGTTTTTCTTAAAAAATAGTACAGAAGATATTTCAACTAGCTCGAGTTAAAATACTCATTAACGGGTAAAATTATCAGTATTAAAGTGACTAGATATCACAATAAATATATACAAGTGGTGTACCTAGTGTTTTATTTGGTTGTGAGAGGAATATTTTTAGGAATGAAGATTGAAATATTTCTTAATAAGCCAACAGTTACCGAGTATTTCATTATAGTCGTTTCATTGCAAAGTGTTAAGGGTGTAAGTACAAAGAAGATGGGAGGGGGATGGAATGTAACAAACACGTGGTGAAAGCCTTATAAATGTGTCACAAAACTAGTACACGCCTGATAAATGGAAGGAGGAGCCTAAAGAAGGACAGTGAAAGCGTTGGTGAAAACTAGTGGTCAAAGGTATGTTTGGTGTCAATTCAAGTCATCTCAAATATGTAGGAATCAGTTGCAGTCTCGACCCCCATTCCTTCCCACTAAACTGGGCATTCTTTATTTTGTTTATGGACAACCAGAGAGTAGAAGGAGAGTTTGTCGTGTGTCCAGAAGGGAGAACAGAGAGTAGCACGGCGAAGGGTAGTAAGTTGGTCAGGTCTACGAGTGATAAAATGCGCGAGTACATGCTGCTTGGCTAATGGCTGCCGTAGTAGTTAGTGGTGTAACCACGTGTTTACGACCCACTTTTATCCTAATCACTTGGCTGAACCTTTAATTTCACCTGACCTTACACTGGGATCTGAACTTTTATGTAAAGGATCAAATCCTGGATTTTTCTGGTTATCCTGTTCGTCCCTGCTGTTATTACTAGTTCTATTTGATATTGTTAATTAAATCACCCCCATGTGAGAATAATATAAGCTTAGCGCTTTCTTCGGTGCGACGAGTTTAAATTTCTACTACTTTAGAATAACAATCGATTTGTAATACAAAGTAATGTTTTTACTTCTTTCATGTAAATTATATCCTAGATAAATAGCTTGATGTGGTCCTTAGTTCCAATCGTATTCTTACTGTTAAGGCTTAATTGTTTATCTATGATATATTTGTACCTTGTCCGCGAAGAAACTATTTAACATTTTATAATAATATTAATGGTTTATTCAAAGGCGTTGTTAGTGGACTGAATCTGTATTGGAAGTTGTTAGATGACGTTTTCATCTGCTAGCGCAGAATTGCATCAGGTCAAATTGCACGGCTCTTAGTGTTGACTGGCTACCTTCCTTCTGGTCAATAGTTCTAATTTAGGGATAACTATACCTGAAATCTAGGGATTTTTGATCTGGCTACTTAGCCTATGTACGCATAAGGTACCATTCAAGTTGAAAATGCTAAATATTTTACAAGTAATCTCCCCATTCCCACGTTATGCTATTTTTAAAAAAAAGTAGTCTTAATCCACCATAAACTAGGATAAAGCTATATGAATACAAAAGTTGTATGCTTTATATATATATATATACCATGTTTTGAAATATAACAAATCATATGAATACATATAATGTTTATCCATATCACTAGCTCCTTTATATAGCTCGATGTACGTTCGTGTATTTAATGATGCGAGTTACACAACGATGTCATCATAATCGCTAATTAACAGTATCACAAAATATTACTATTATAAAATTTACTTGAAATCAACATTATTTTTTGTGTAGCAATTAATGTATTTACCAGCTATTTGGATAATGCATAAAAATTATAACCATCAGTTACTTTGATTGGAATAAATATGGGGTTGTTGTTTTGTTTTTTTATCAGACTCCTATTTTGGATCATTGTGGAACGATGACGTCACCTCCCATGCCAACAATACCTGAACTTGTATCAAACTATCCAAAACATCGCCCTTCTTCTTCAGCAACATTTGAGGACAAACTTAACCAGTCAGGATCTTATACTTCAGAAACAAATGCTCTAACAACTGACAATTCAAAATATATTCTTGTATTGATCATGAACATTCAGAAAGTAATTCCACGCTTGATCAAGAAGATCCAATTAAGCAATCGGATTTTGAAAACAACAAAAAATGCTGTTGGATCACGAAACGTCAGTTCATGGTTTTATTCTTAATCAATTTCGCTTTCTTCTGTCAAGCTAGCTGCTACGCACTTCTCGCTCCCTTCTTTCCTGAAGAGGTATTTGTGTTTTTGGTTTGTTATGAACTCATGAAGGAAGATGTAGAACTGTTAAGTAAAATAACCCATGCCAAACTATATATATATATATATATATAATATTTAGACAACTAGGTTAAAATCAAAAAGCATGGCCAAAAAATAAAGTTCGGACTCCATCTACACTGTGGAAAAAGTAAAACGCACGTAACTAAGGGAAGTACCCGGGACGTTGAATCCACATAACGGTTGGGATACGCCGCTTGTCAGATAATTTTATTAGAAAATTTCATATGTCAAATATAGTTAGAACAAAAACCGAAATACATGGAAAATAAAGATAGGTTGAAACATTTTTTATTATGTAAATTTATATTCTTTCTCTTCCTGTTAATTTACTTAGTTGGGGACGGCAAGGCCAGATGGTTAGGAAGCTCAAATTAATTATTGTTTGTTTGTTTGTTTTGAATTTCGCGCAAAGCTACGCGAGAGCTATCTGCGTTAACTGTCCCTAATTTAGCAGTGTAAGACTAGAGGGAAGGTAGCTAGCCATCACCACCCACCGCCAACTCTTGGGCTACTCTTTTACCAACGAATAGTAGGATTGACCATCACATTATAACACCCCCATGGCTGAAAGGGCGAGCATGTTTAATGGGACGGGGATTCGAATCCACGACCCGCAGATTGCGAGTCGTTGATCAAAGTAGTATTCTAAAACAATAATGTCTTACGTTAACGATCATCAAATAGAAAATAATGCTGACGAACATTGTATTCTGAAATAATAATGTGTTGAGTTTACAAATACCTTGTTTAGAAACAAAGAAGATCCACCATATTGACAAACTAACAATCTCTATTGCTGAGAAATGTCATGCTCAATATCAATAATTATTTCATATGTTAACACCTTAAATTGAAATTATAATTTATTTAACTGACAAACACCTTAATATCTTATGTTGACGGACAACATATTCTGTCATAAAAATACTTTATGTTGATGATCACGATACTTAAACTATAATGACTTTATACTGAATGCCACGTTTTAAAGAGATGATGCTATATATTAACGAACTCCATATTAATTTATCAAGTGCACTCATCTTTTACACACATGTTGCAAGTTAATATTTCTTGTGTCCATATATTTCAGCAATCTGTCATCAAGTTCGTAGAGTAAACAATTATGTGTTTTTCAGTAACTTGTAATTAAGAAAATAATAGAAACTATTGTTGTTGTTTTTAAAACAAATGGTTGAAGATATCTAGAAAAGCTATATTATGTATTAAATTATCTTTCTGATGGTTTAAAACTTAAAAACCTGATTTTAACTAATTTATATTGTACAGTTAAGTGTTCAACTTATTACCAAGTATACGTATTTTGTATCCTTGTGTCATTACGAAACTCAAAAGTGTAATGACAAGGGTAAAACTCTTTACAAGCGGCGCATCTTTGAAGATGATTGGAGATGGTTGAGTGGTACTATGAGACACATAATTTAAAATATTAAAGTACCTTTAATACTTACTTCTCGATTACATTACTTTTCAATAAATTGGAGATGGTTGAGTGGTACTATGAGACACATAGTTTAAAATATTAAAGTACCTTTAATACTCACTTCTCGATTACATTACTTTTCAATAATTTGGAGATGGTTGAGTGGTACTATGAGACACATAGTTTAAAATATTAAAGTACCTTTAATACTCACTTCTCGATTACATTACTTTTCAATAAATTGGAGATGGTTGAGTGGTACTATGAGACATATAGTTTAAAATATTAAAGTACCTTTAATACTCACTTATCGATTACATTACTTTTCAATAAATTGGAGATTGTTGAGTGGTACTATGAGACACATAGTTTAAAATATTAAAGTACCTTTAATACTCACTTATCGATTACATTACTTTTCAATAAATTGGAGATTGTTGAGTGGTACTATGAGACATATAGTTTAAAATATTAAAGTACCTTTAATACTCACTTCTCGATTACATTACTTTTCAACAGATTAACTCGTTGAACACTATGACTGTCATATAAATTCACAAGTTCGAAATTTTGAGAATACAATATAAACTATTTTTAAAAATCTTTTGTTGCCTAAATATGGTTACTTTGTTGTATTTCGAAATGATGTCACAAAACATTATGTCCCCATTTTCAAACATATTAATTTCTTAAAACTATACCTACCCGTGATTCTATGTAAAAATGTTCGTTGGTGTTATCTGTGTACACTCAAAAAGTTGCTGTTGACCAATTAAACTTTCAAGGTAACATCTCATTCATGATAATTTCTGTGAGGGTTGGAATTCTATTTTGTCGTATCAGTTTAAAGTTAGGTTCTTCGTTCTTGAGTTAAAGCGTAATTACATACACAATTCATTGTGAAACCAAAATAAGAACTTGTGATTTAAAAAAAAAGACCACTTTTTTGAATCTCCATTACATATTAGGAATTAATAGATTAAAAATTAACTTTTTGTTTTTATTTTGAACAACAGTATTTTTGTGAGAATGAAACTCTGTAAAAATACTGAAAATTATAAGAATAAGTTAATTCCTGTTTAAAAACTAAGTGAAAATGTGTATACTTGCCATAATTAGATAAAGAGATAAATAAACATATAGTTTAGGCATAATGTAATTTCAGCTTGAGGTGCATATCTTATGATATATTATCAACCGTAAATTTTTCATCGTTTGTTTTTGAAATTGTTATGTTCTTAAACCACCATTATTTGTATATGAACTTTTTTCAGGCAGAGAAAAAACAAATAACATCAACCCAATATGGATTTGTTTTTGGAGTATTCTATTTGGTTGTATTTATTCTCTCTCCATTCATGTTCAAGGTGGTGAGTATCAATTAAAGAGTATAGTTTGGATTGGATTAAGTTATTTATTGTATTTTCTTCATTGATCAAAAACCGTATACTATAAACTGCAAAAATTTCTATTCCAAGTTATTAGAATACAGGATACTAAATGCGCTTATTTCGTAATAAATCAACACTCAAATTACCAGCATCATCGCGTACAACTAACGGTAAAATTTTGAAACTAAAACCCCCAACTCTAATACACCTAGCAAAAGACACGACAGTCTCAAGATGCCAAATCCATTCGACGTAAAGATTATCAATTATTTGATACATAGAAACCGAACGGTTCAATCTCATCTATTAAAAGCAACGATTACAAGCCGTTTGCATAATAAAAAGAAACTTATAAATTGTGGCTATAAAAGGCACAACTGTTGTATTTCTGTGTGTTTTTTTTTGTGCACGCTATAAATCCAACTGACGATCAGTCAGCAATTATTCTAAGATGTCTGTAAATGCATGGGAAAAATTATTCCAATCTGTGAGACTGACAACTTAATAAACATAACGAATCCAAACTGTCGGATTGTCAGTATATGCAATGGTTTTGCATGAAGCTGTTAGACTAACAATGAAATAGAGGTAACAATTTCAAGTTGTTAGTTTTAGTAGACGCAATGACTCCATATTGTCACGCAGATAACGTATAATAGAAGCAACAATTCCTGTATTTTAAGGCATATTAGATGCAAATATTTAAACTCGTAAGGAAATAATCTGAGTTCTAGCAAACTAAACAATTTAAACTATCTACTCTAGTGGAATTACTCTAAACTATTTAATCTAGCAGATTTTGCTCACCCCAGAAATGACAGTTGTATTTTATATTACCATTTTATTACCTTCATTATTTGATTGGTTACAAAGGTAACTGGTAAAACATTCTTAATATACTGCGTTATTTTATCTCTGTAACTGATATTTGTATATATTTACAGGTTCCAACATTGTCTCCAAAATTTTTAGTAAACTCTGGGGTATTTTTTGCTGGAGGTGCTACGATTTTGCTTGGGTAAGTTTGCCATTCATTTTCATTTGTGAAAACGTATTGTCAAACGTGGTGCTGTTTATTTGTGCTCTTGAAACTCAAAATTTTCTTAAACCAAATGAAAAACATAAGATTTTGGCAATTTTTTCTTGAAACGAGACCTATATATCAAATCACTTCTTATGGGTACTTAAGAGAATGGAGACAAGACCTTTTTCTTACCTTTGGATAGTTTTTTGTTAGTTTCTTTTGTTGAGTGTCAGGTTTAATGTATGGGCCAAATTTTTTACAGTAGATGTCTGTGGGTTGTTGTCGATACATTTCAACAATAAACAAACAGCACACAGTTCACTTGTTTTAAAATAGTATATTAAAACAAGTCAAACGTATATACAAATGTTCGTTGCACAGTTAATCACAACACTTGTATCCAGAGCTTTAAATAATCGTCTCTTTTCATCAAAGTCCACACAGGCTGGTTCAGTTACTTTAGAACACAATTGACAATACGAATTATTCTACTCTGCTCTGTTATTACAATACAATCGGTGATAATTTCATTTACGTTACCCTGTAGTTAACACAGTTGTATCCAGAGCTTTAAACAATTGTTTCTTTTCATCAAAGTCCACACAGGCTAATTCAGTTACTTTAGAACACAATTGACAATACGAATTATTCTACTCTGTTGTTACATTGAAAAATCTATTATCCTTGACTAACATTAGTTTGTTAAAGCTTTCAATTAATCGCATAATAAAATACTCAAACCCTTTATCAAAGTTTTGCTGCTAGAAAAACTTATATGATGATGATTTGCAAAAATATGAGTTGTTCGAAGTCTTGTGTATGAGTTCAAACTTTTAAAAATGCTTTTTTTTAAACAAACGTTATTTTGAATAATGACCTATAAGACCATTTCTCGAAAAGTAGACTATGGCAGAAAATTCAAGGATTAATTCAATTACTCACAGTTCTGTAATATTTCTAGGTTCAATTATACCTGATTGTATAGTTCCCAATACTGTCTTCATATGCCAGAAGGATAATGATTGATTGGGTGATGCATCAGTTGATTTGGGAAATAAATAAAACTTTGGCAAAATATCTTTTGCAAAAATGCACGGATGGATTTACAAATCTGACTAACACTTTTTAACAATATAGTTTGACTTTTTGGTAACATTTTCATACGAAGCAAATGGGCTCCGAAACATTATTTTGCCTGGTAAATTCATGGCATAACTATTAATTTTTGATAAATATAGTATATTCATTTGACTTGTTAAGTCAATATGAAATATTTCATTGCGTTGATGGAAAGATACAGGAGTCATCTATACACCACTTGAGTAATCATTTGGAAAGCGTACGACTAATTAAAATGGTCAGAACACGATAGCATTTGTTACGTATAAACCTTTTTGCTGATTTAAGAAGTTTTGTTTGAAGATTATTATAAAAATTTTAACTCGTATACAGTACTTTAAAAACGTGGTTAACGGAACATATCTGTGATAACACAGCACTCTATAAAATGTTTTGAAGTTATACGTAAAATAAGGTTTGAATAGTTCAAAATACATAATTTACAGTATATTAATGTATTGTAATAGTTAGTTTTAACTGCAGGTGTGAATGTTTTAACACAGCATTTTGTTTATTATTAATATTATGTGAAGAGTTCTTAATGTTTCGTGTAATGTATCCAAGAAGTGTTTCTTGTAATTTATTAACGTGGTCCTGTACTTTAGCACTGTAATAAAGTCCGCACCTGGAGCCACCTTTCTTTCATTATCCTTAGTGGGAAGAATTGTTCAAGCTATCGGCTCCACATCTCTGTTTACCCTGGGCTATGCCATCGTTGCTAACGAATTTACTGAACGTCGTGCCACAGCCCTGGTAAGAAGAATATGTTTCTATAATCCTGAATGTAATATATTATCGTAAACATTATGTATAGTACGTTCACTCGGTTATTTTGAGAAATATAGTCTGGTTAAATGATGTAAATAAATGTAAGATTTGAGGAATGATAGCTATATTCAGATACGTAGAGACTATGTTGTAAAAAGCAGTATGAAATAAAGTGAAGAATTTAAAAAATTCTGAATTGTAATTGCTTCTTAAGGTAACATTATTATATTTGTATGATGTATAGAAATTCTAACCAAATGATTTAGAAAAACAGCTTTAAAATTATCAAAATATGCTTACAACCCAAAGAATGTTGGCTGATGATAAATTATCGCTTTAAAATTGTGTCTCTGATTACACAATAATGTATCCAAGTGTTTGATTTTGAATCTTGCTCATTTTCCATTGCGAGTTTTATGATATATTTGCATAACTGACATATATCAAATGCGTTATTGTAATAACCCGATATCAAAGTATCCATCAGTTTCACTGTAACATCTCTTTGAAAAAATCCCGATTACTGTTGAATATATATATTTCTAACTTGGTTTAACTTGTAAGATGCTAGAATTAAGGAACTCAGTGTAAAAATCTGTAGTTTGTTGGACTAGAGTATTTGTGTACAATGAGCTGACATGAAATTTATCCGAATGTACATCCCTATATTTAATTAAATTTCTACATTGTCTCTTCAGTTTAACCATTTTTATAACCTATCGTTCAACAATGACACAATACACTCTATGAAGAACTGAAATCAAACTTTTAGGGCACACAGTATTCACTAACTTATTTTTAAGAACTGTATTGCTTAAAGGATAAATTTGAACTTGTTAAACTAAAACAAATTAAAACTTAAAAATAATCAGAGATTTAGGGACTAGAACTTCTGTAAATATCGCACTGCGTCTCTGTTTTAACCTGTACACGTGGTTAGTCCTCTTATTACAATTGGCTTTCTGGTGCCAATATTGATTGATAAGCTTCTTGTAATATATGTTCAAATAAATTCCAAAGTCTTCTTTGTTTATATTTACTTTTGTATGTAACATAAATAGATACCCAGTGTTTATAGCGAAATATATTGGCAAATAATGTGGCATTTTACTTTATAATAGTTACTGTTGAATTAAAAGCGTATCAGATCTTTGTATTTTACATTATTAGCGGTTCTGAAGTACTAGGTCTATCTAAACAGACAAGTTTTGATTTTATATTGTATAATATTAAATAAATAATGTCATTGTGCTAGAATGTTCAACTTCAGCAATTCGAAGTCAGTAATGACAATTTCAATTATTAAAGGCCATTATTGAAATGTTCTACGGCTTGGGGATCACGATAAGACCGACAATTAAATAAATAATTTCATTGTGTTAGAATGTTCAACTTCTGTAATTCGAAGTCAGTAATGACAATTTCAATTATTAAAGGCCATTGTTGAAATGTTCTACGGCTTGGGAATCACGATAGGACCGACAATTGGAGGCATCCTTTTTGAGGTAAATTTGCTCATAAGTTTTTTCTTATTTATTGAGTCTTAAAATTTGTTAAAGGGTCTTAATTAAGATTTCCTGATATCAGCACCCTCGGTGGGCCAAGTAACTTCAATCCGGGGTTTGATTACCCGCAAGAGACTTAGCCCATATAGCTTAGTGTATTTCTTTGATCTAAAACAACAACACTTCTACCGACCTATGTGAATTCCCAGTTATATAGAAACAAACATCTAAATAAACATGATTAACTTGTCTGTACCTAAAACGAATTTTTAGACCATCTAAAATACATTTTTATAAGAATAATAGTCTCCAAACAGTTTGAAACTAACAATCAATCATACTTTTTGTCCATTCTCTCTGTTTTAATTAATATAGTGATTAGCAGTATATATATAAAAATCCTAAACACATATCATAATGTTTGTGGATTACATAACCTACGGAAATGAAAAGGTTTTAGAGCATTTTAAATCCAAACATTAAACATATAATTGAATAAAATTGTATCTTATAGCCCACTTTATGGTACAGAAATAACTTATCAACATGAAGAATGTATTTAAAATCACATACAATGTATATAAATTATTTAATTAAGCTAGCTAGCATTTTCATAATATTGGTTATCCCGGTTTTCAGGTAGGAGGTTTCATGCTACCGTTTTTCCTTCTTGGAGGTATTCTGGTGTGTCTGTCTGGAATCATGATATGCTTCTTGCCGGAAACAAGTGAGAAAAATTAAACCCTATTAAATCTATACATATATATTTTTATTAACTCCTCTTATGTTACACCTTTATGCTTCATTAAATTATATGAGAATTTATGACTATCTCAAAATAACCTGAACAGTTTTGATACTTTGATTCGGTACAGTTTTGTATTGTAAGATTTTAAAAGCATTCCCATTTACTAATTCAAGGTTTTAATACATTTTTCCACGTGTGTATTTAACAGTAATATACTTCATATTTTCTTTCGAACTTGACTAATTTTTCAATCCTTGCCTCTTATTGTAAATCAGAGTGTACCATTAACGAGAACCAAGGTGATCTTTTCAAGATTATTCTCAACCCAACTTTTATTGTGGATATGGTAAATATCTTAACTGGCTTCCTTATCGTTGGCTTTAACGAGGCGACCTTGGAGCCACACGTTAGACAGGTAGATAGCTCTCTTTCTTTCGGTTTCGTGAATTTATTATCATAATATTTCAGAAATCAAATTGGAAGTATGAAACAGACAAAAGCTAGCACAAATTTAGATATCACTTTCATTATCGACAGTTAAAAGTTATATTTAGGAAGCATTTTTTTACAATGTTCAATTTCTTTCGATAGTGGGAATTCACTATCAGTGCTCACAGCTCCAAAGTGCGAACTACGATTATAATTATCAGCAACAGGGCGCGAAACATGCATGCATTCGCGGATATACAGCCTTGCATGCTATTGACTAGAGCCGGCCCCAATTCACATAAATGCATACATACGAAAGAGACAAGTGAAGAAATATTGAATTAAACTAACTTGTTATCTTCCAATCAAGTTCTTAAATACAATATATAACACTTCTTACCAAGGCTTAATGTTTTTATATTATTGTTGTATTTATGCAATACTTGAAGCAGATCAAATTGTAAGTTTTTTTGTTTGTTATTAATTATGCACAAAGCTACACAAGAACTATCTGTGCTCTGCCCACCACGGGTATCGAAAACCGGTTTCTGGCGTAGTAAGTTTGCAGACATATCGCTGTGCTACTGAGGGGGCGTAAGTTTTCTTGAACAACACCTTATACACACAGTGAAACAGTCAGATCAGAAACCTATACGGTTCAGACAAACTGTTCCTAACCTTTAATTGTGGATCATAGAGACAGTACCATTTACAAAAAGCAATTAGTCTTAATCAAATAGTAAAAGTTACTTCATTCTTATGACGCACCAGCTAAAAGCGCTAAGCCTAGATCCTTGGATCCCCGACCAATGCTCTAACCCATACGCCAAACTCAGTAGTTGTCAGTGGCTATGAATACAAAATTAAGCGCCTTTTCGAATAATCTTAATACAGTTAATTCAAACTATTAATGTAATTCAATTTGAGGTATAAGGAATAGTATTTATTAATAACATAACATGTACTGATTTTCTTTCTTTTTTACAAGTTCACTTGGCCCGGCATGGCCAGGAGGTTAGGGCGCTCGACTCGCAATCTGCGGGTCGCAGGTTCGGATCCCCGTCCCACCAAACATGCTCGCCCTTTCGGCCGAGGGGGCGTTATTATATGGCGGTCAATGAAACTATTCGTTGGTAAAAGAGTAGCCCAAGAGTTGGCGGTGGGTGGTGATGACTAGCTGCCTTTCCTCTAGTCTTACACTGCTAAATTAGGGACAGCTAATGCAAATAGCCCTCGTGTAGCTTTGCGCGAAATTCAAAACAAACCAAATAAGTTCCGTTGTATATTGATGACATCAACCAAATTACGGATGAATTACTTAACTTATGAATAAGTACACAAGAAAATGGAAATATAAACGAATAACATAATTTACTGTCATATAGATATGTATAGAAATAGAGATTCAAATCCAAGTTAGCTCATGTGTAAAATAAAGCCGTATAAGAACGAATATAAATTATACCTTTGTCTGCGTGTTTATTTCACATAGTTTGGACTAACCCCATCGATTGTGGGACTACTGTTTATTGCTTCTGGTGGAATATATGCAGTTGGAACTCCAGTCTGGGGATATATTTATGACAAAATTGTAAGTATGTTATATGCCTAAATTTATTGCCGTTGGCTGCTATTGTAATACTATCAGAAAAGTATTTAAATACATAAAGAAAATAACTTTTTCCAAAGTATAGAGATGAATCTGCAGCCTTGATCGTAACATAATCGAATGAAGTTTTATTTGGGAAAGAAAAGCTGATAATTTTATCTTAGCCCCCTAGTGGCTTAGCGATAAGTCTGAAGTCTTATAAGGTTAAAAGCTGGGTTTGGATAACAATAACCCATTACGTAGCTTTATGCTTAACTACAAATAAATTTTATGTTTTATAAATAAAAAATTCTTAGAATGAATCAATCTGTTCGTTTCTTGTGCCTATTTATAACGCTGTATTTTGGGTGTTAATCTAAATTATTAGCATCAGAAATTAATCCTCTCATTCCTTTAGACACATTTTCTGTTTCTGATTTAATCTCAGTCTTGACGCTTAAATAATAGAATATAAGCATGAAAAACATAACTTGAATCAAATCATCGCTTATTTAAATTAGATCTTCACCAATAACTTTGCATGTTTTGTTTTATTTTCTATTTTTAAGCCTGACTCTTACCTTCCAATGTATACATCCAGCATTGTCTGCGCAGCAAGCTTTTTATTTCTTGGACCCGCGCCATTTCTTCCTCTGGAAACGTAAGTCTAATGTGATAAAAACAACAACAACAAAAAACATTACCATTATTATGTACCTTAAATAACACGTTTTACTTATTGAACTAAATATATTCTGCACAAGAAATAAAGTTAGCGTTTCAGATTTGCATATGAGGACCCCTTATGTTAGTTTTTTTGCTGTTAAAATGATGTGCCAAAATATTTTTATTGATAAAAATTCCCCTGAGGTCATTTAAGTCACATTTTCATTCTGCTAACACTTAAATTTTTTTGACAAAATAATTGCACGCTGTAACTGATACGGTTATGAGTATTTACGTATATCCTTGCAGTATATTTTGTTATATTTTATCAAATATTATAGTATGTTTTAAACGATTATTCTATTCTTCTTTAATTTTAGTCCTTTGAAGAATACTTGCGAAAGCAAATCCTAAAAAAATATATCGATTTTGTTCTCACAGTGAGTTTTTCGAAAACAAACTTGTGTTCAGTGCGTGTATATGGGTTGGTGTACTTCTTGGAATACTTCTAGGTCTCTTTAAGATGTGGATGTTCTAGTTTTACAGATTTGGATTTTAATATATTAGTTTATGTTGCTAAGAGGTATAACTGCGTTACACCCAATGTTAGTTTTACTAACGTGTACGATTATTTACAGACATTTTTGTGAAATACCAATTCTAACAAACCATTAATTTGTATCGATATTTGCAGCACCCTCTGGTTGGTAATTATGGCCCAAGTTCTTCTTGGTCTCGGGGCGGGAGGAAAAGTAATCATAGGATTCAACCATTCCTTGAGAGTCACTGTGTAAGTTTCATATATAATTGAATATAAGGAAACAAGTAAGGAAAAAAAATAAAAAAGGAAGTAAATGTAGAGATGGCGTTTGCAACATCCCTACATAATAGCGCAGGCATACAGTGTAGTAGATTGCTAACAGAGAAAAATAGGATAAATATATTAGCCATCTGTACATTCATTCCCTTTTTTGAAAACTTTTTCTTCACTTGTTTGCTTGTTTTTAATGCAGTGTTTCAATAGACATAGGAAGGTTGTATTTATAACCAAGTTCTAATTACAATGAAGTTCCAACTATAATATTTATTGTTTATCTATTTCTGATTGATAATTCCTGTTTCACCCTGTACTTAAGCTATTTTATGAAGACCAAATTTCTGTAAAAAAGCTAACTTGAAGGGATAATGATAGCATCGTTTACACTAAAATTATGATTTTTTAAACATTACTACTAGTTATTAATAATACTTATCAAAGCGTATACTCCGTTTGAAACTGTGTCACCTCAGTAAAATTGATTGACATCTTTGTTTTGGTTTTTGAGTTATCATGTAATAAAAAATGAAGCAGAGGAAAGAAGAATAAGAAATTCAAACTTTTTGCTATGATATTTACAGACATTCCAAGAACTTGTGACTTAGTCATTACATAGATATTGTTATAAAAGGAAACACTGTACATTATTGTAAAGTTCTGATGGCCTATTGAGGAGGTATTTAAAATACCATTTCGATGAACAATCCGAGCCAGCCCTACATAGGCAGTGCTACTGCCTGCCTAACAATCATTCGTCCGTTATATAAGACTAACGATGTCAAGGTATAAGTAATGATGATACAAAATTAAATATGTAGCATACGTGTACATCGTCTTTATTTTTGAGCTTTTATATGCACTCAAATTACTGCTTTATCTGCTAAATACGACGTGAAATTAAAGATTTAGCGCAATCAGGAGTAACGTTTTATTGTTTAATTAAAGCAAGTATAAAAAACGAAGTTGTAGAGAAAACTTGTTGTCCTTATATCTTTAAAATGTGCAAATAAAAGTGATTTTTATATATAAACTAAGAACGTTTAGAATATTTCTCCAGATGAAGGTGTTCATCTTCGTAACGATCTCTAAAGTTGTACTTGAGTATTGATCTAAAAGACTAGATGTACTTCCGCATTGTCCCTGAAAGTGTTCTGTTTCAAGAGTAAATAATACCAGAATTAAGAGTAACAAATATTTTTATTTCTTGCTTTTGAAGTTCATTGTGTCATACTGTGTTGTAGCCTACAGATTGCATAATTTTTCTCGTGATTCATGGCACGCGCACGTTTTACTGACGTCGGAACAGTACAAATTGCAACGTTAAGCGTCCCTTACGTGACGTCAATTTAGTGTCTACTGACTGACTGACATAAAACATACTACTGTATAGTGGTGCGAGTGGTTAAAACAGACACCTCCAGACGGCTTACGGCCCCCTTGAGATACATAGTCTACTCACGGTTATTTTCATGTAGATACAGTGTAGAAATAACAGCTAGAAAAACAAAACAATTAAATCGTAGACTCAAAGATTAACACATTTTGTTGTGCACATAACTTTGTATAACGTACACGAAACTACATTTCCATTCCTTGTAATCGTAGCGGTTTAGCACTTAATTAACAAGCAATCACAAATTACTAATTTTACTGATGTTCTTTCAGATTACGAGGTTTCCCAGATGACGTCCCAACCTTAACGATAGTTTCGGGGCTTTTTAATTGCACTCTGGCTCTTGGGTAAGCAATTCAAAAAATATACAACAGCTAATGATTTCTAATTCGAAGACTCAATATTTTTGATTTGTGAATTTGATTATAATGTTTGGTTTTCTTTATGTAGCGGTTTTATTGGACCATCGCTAGGGGGAGCGCTTCTTGAGCAAATGGGTTACGAAAAGGGAACAATGGTTCTTTTGGGAATGGAATTAGCAGTGGTAAGTTTTCTTTTTTCTACTATGAGAAAATCTTTACATTAAAAGCTGATCATTTGTAAAAACTTTTTTACTTAAATAAAATATTAATTTGATTATTCTTTCAATTTTATTCTAATAAATAGAAGCAATACAATTAAACAACAGCATTGTATAAACAGAAACTGTGATATATTAAATAGATTTATAAGAAACTTAAATAAACACATGAAAGGGCAAATAACTCAAGTTAGGTTATCATAAACGAGGTTCTAAACAAGTCAATGCGTAGAATAATTCGTTAGTGAGTATCTAATATTTTTTTCTAATACAGAAAAGAAGTAGAAAGTAGGCTTACAATTGACTTCTTTACTGTTTTTAGTTGGTGATAACTATAATACATTCACTATGGAAAGCAATAGCCAGAATCTGTGGACGACCAGAAGAATCAAAACCTCTCCTATCAAATGGTGCTTTGCGGGCATGAAGTAACACTTATTGTTATCGTTCTTATCCAGAAAATCTCAATAAAATATATTCTAATATATATATATATATCGATAGATTTAAAAACAAACTGACTGTTTGGATAAACGATTTGAGAAACAAAAATTACGTACTATCACGATTTCTGTCTCCATTTTGATATTTGTTTGTTGGTGTCCTCCCTAGTTTTTATTTACGTGTGATTGTGAAATATGATTTTATACGTCTAAAATAAAGGACAAATGTAGTCTATTCTAAGCAGTTTATAATAAACAATATCTTAAAGATATTTAGAATTTGAGAAGAAAAAAAGACTTGTGGTTTAATTAAAAAACTCTGCAATATTTTTAATAAAACATCATTTTTCTTACTTATGCCACGGACCATAATCCTTTATTATATTGTTTTGTATTATGTTTGATTTCCATGCAAATTAATATTTTATTTTAAGTGCTTTAAAATAGATATCCACGAATTAAATTTCAATAACTTAACTATCTATATGTATATCGATGTTTAGATATTTTTGACAACGATTAAAGTAAATGCCATTATTTTGTTCCCAGCACAATGTGAAACTGAATATTTTAAAAATATTATCGGTTTTTGTTCTTTACAGATTAATAAGTTGAATTTATTTATACTCATCTTGGTTTAGGTGGCAAATTATCGTTTTGAAGCAATTTGAAAACAACTGTTTGCTATAAACTTCTGGTAGTATTAAGAAAGGTAAACATGTAACTAATAACGCATATCATCACAACTTACATCTAGTACGTATTGTTTTATATATATATATTTCATTATAGTTCATAACGCCTCTACAGTCTTTATTCAAATACTATTTATACACGTTAAGCTATTTGTAGTCCATATTAGCTTTCACATTACTTATAAACTTTTTAAAATAATTTCTTTGGTACTCACTTCCCTCCCCTTACTAAATTCTGGAATTTTTTTCACACTACCCTTTTTAAACCAGAAATGATTTACACCTGTACTATTCCCAATAAAAGGCTACATAAACACTTTGAAACTATCATGGCGATCTGCTGTAAATATCTATGGCGTTACTGGGGGTAATTTTACTAATATTCATATTCACACGATAACCATTTCCAATTCATTCCCGAAGAAAGCGCTCGGATTATCGGGTATTTAATTTTGTAATGTAATTTTTTTTAATTAAATTCAGGCGTCATTTTCGTTTTCAGACCGTATGCTTCTTTAATTCGTTTTTCTTTTTTGGCGTAATGTATATCATTTTTAAATAAGCAATTTACTTGTGTATCATCCACTTTGAAAGATAAAGTATAAAGAGTTTCTTGTCAAGAACACTGTTTAACTATGGCATTACATAGTTATTTTTCTTTTCTACCTTTTATGCCCTTTCATTTAAAAAAAATATATCATTTTCTTCTACAAATAAAAACAATATACTCATTGCTTTTAGATTATGATTCTTTCTTCGACTATGGGAAGTACAGATGCGAATTTAGATAAGACCAAGATACCATATATTTGTGAAACTGAAAATACTCTAAAATTACCGAGTGAAACCATATTTTCTTCGATTTTGTCTTGAAGCTGTTTTTATCAAGCTTTTAGTGAATACTTTCCGTTAGTGATTTTCAGGAGATTTCTGTCCGTTTTTCAACCTTTTTGATTATATAAATGAAAAAATAATTTTGTTAGAATTACTAATGCAGCTTAATTAATAAACTTGGCTCATTAATCTCGTCATTTATAAAATCCATGTTATATTATCATAAAATTACATATTTTTAATTATGAAATGGTCATTTTTTGTCTGTTTTGTTTTTAAACGTAAAGCTACACAATAGGATACCTGCGATGTACCCACACTGGGTCGATTGTTTGTTTGTTTGTTTTAAGAATTTCGCGCAAAGCTACACGAGGGCTATCTGCGCTAGCCGTCCCTAATTTAGCAGTGTAAGACTAGAGGGAAGGCAGCTAGTCATCACCACCCACCGCCAACTCTTGAGCTACTCTTTTACCAACGAATAGTGGGATTGACCGTCACTTTATAACGCCCCCACGACTGAAAGAGCGAGCATGTTTGGTGTGACGGGGATTCGAACCTGCGACCCTCAGATTGCGAGTCGAGTGTCCTAACCACCTGGCCATGCCGGGCCCACTGGAATCGAACCAAAATATTTAGGATTATAAGCCCTCAAACTTACTGCTAAGCCCCTGGAGATAGGGAGGCTAATGTGATAATAGTAAGTGTTTAAAAATTAAAATATGGCCATAAATTCAAATGATTGCACAATTAAATTTTGTTCCGTGGAACATTACATAAAATATTTTTGTATTGGTACTTGTAAAATTTGATTGACTTTGTGATAGTAATTTGTTTAGTAATTAATTTTGAAAATTTTCTCAAAAGAAAAGCAGAAACTAGAAATCAAATACCTTCCATATTTCATTCACCATTCTTATTTCAAGATTATAACCACTTTAGATTCTATAGAAATATTACCGAAATAAGAAATTGTATCACCACTGATAGCTATAAACACAAACTTTGTTTAATAATGTTTTAACCTCACATATAAAAAATACGCACATTCTTCGATCCATCCTGAGAAACACGCTACATTCAAACATCTTGGTTTAGTTTTATTTACTTTACCTTTAAATGTAGAAACACGTTTGATATATTACATGGAACTGTAAAAAAAATTATCAGATGCAAACATAGAAAGATAAATTTGTATCTACTAAGGGTACCAATCAGAAATTTGTATATATTACATCTATGTTCATCAATTATTCACTAAATTATAACTCAATTAATTAACAAGGACAACATTCAAATATGTTAATTTTGTCTTGCCTCCCAGTGGCTTGGTGGTAAGCTTGAGGGCATATGATGCTAGAATTCTAGGTTCCTTCCCTATAATCGGCACAGCAGATATCCCATTAGGCAGTTTTAATAGCAAAGAAAAAACACGTTTTGTGTGCGTGTGTTTTTTTTTGTTGTTGTTTTTTTCAGTAATACGTATGGTACACAGAAATAAAAACAAAGGCATTGAATTTATATGAATTGGTTAAATATATAAATATTGTCATGATTGAAAACAGCTAACTAAAAAAAGTTTATGGCGTAATCTCCCCTCCCACGGTGAACAGACTGCAGATAGTCCTTTGTGTAGTTGTGCATTAAAAAAAAACAATAACAACTAAAAACGCCATTTGTTATTACGATAAGTAAATATAATAAAAACCACTGAAGTGAAACAATAGAGATTATTCTTATAATGTTTGATTTTGTTACATAGAATATATGTTGTTTGTTTCCAACAAATACTATATTGTGATGGTGCGGACGCCTTACAATTGTCTTGTAACAAATATAATTCATTATAGTCGGGCTTCGCTAGCAAAAAGCGTCCAAATCACAAAAGATTCTTATTCTAACAAGTGGCTTATATAAAGAGCGTTCCAACTACTACTGTGCTTGTTGCATCCCAACTGACCTTATAAGCTATGGTATTGAGCAAAACGTGTCGTCCGCACAGATATAGGTAATGTTGAATGATTTTGAAATACTATTATACATTATTATTATTCTTGAAGAATCGTAGATGATATACTTGTCTTTAGTCGCACTTATTAAGACATATCTGAGAAACCGAGAATAGTGTTCTTGTGCGTCCAGGATTCAGGTTTGAAATTGAAACCAGAAAAATGTGTGCTTATCAGTGCGGAAGTGCAGTTGGTAGATATGTAGTGTTCACTGATCCTTCAAAGATTACAGCAGCCAATGGCTGGCCCTTAAGATTAGGGCTAACAAGGATTGGTTCTTAAGATTACAACAGCCAATGACTGGCCCTTAAGATTACAGCAGTCAAGGATTAGTCCTTAAGATTACAGTAGCCAATGACTGACCCTTAAAATTAGGGCAGTCAAGGACTAGTTCTTAAAATTACAACAAGCAAGGACTGGTCCTTAAGATTAGGGCAGTCAAGGACTGGTCCTTAAGATTACAGCAGCCAATGACTGGCCCTTAAGATTACGGCAGTCAAGGATTGGTCCTTAAGATTACAACAGTCAAGGACTGGCCCTTAAGATTACAATAAGCAAGGACTGGTCCTTAAGATTATAGCAGCCAAGGACTGTTCCGGGGATCTAACAAATGAAAAGTCTGCAGCTTTCTAGATTTTGTGTCATATTTGTGGCCAATTTCTCCAAGATAGCTCTACCACTGTTCTATACTGGCTAAGGCTGATGCAGGCTTTGTATAGACCCGGAATTGCTAGCTCAATTAGTGTTGGCTTATCCTCGTCAAGACTGACCATTCGTTCTGGATATCAAAATTAAAGAATAGGTTAAACAATGCCCAAGTTTTTATTTTTTTTATTTTAAGAGGATGAAGTTTCGAGCTAGCGCTCTTCGTCAAATCGTACATCAAGTATCTTGAATTTATCAATTCAATAAAAAACACTTTGTAATATCTAAATAATTTGTATATTTTATTTATAATTCTAAGTATCCTCTTTTATACTGTGTTCTATGGAATACAAGCTAGCATAAAATGGTTACGAGGTCGGTCGCTGGGACAGAGCCCTTTGTGAAACAGTTAAGTTCCATGCAACGTATTTGAAACACTGTAGGAAATTAATAAGGATTATGTACTAGACATCCATAGTAAAGTCTTTGCAGACGGCGAAGGAGTCACATAAAAATTGTGTTTAAGAGGTAAAAACTGTACAGACTTTATACAAATAGTACTGCTAATAACAAAGTAGTCCACAAAATGTCTGTGATAAAACTGATGTTGTCAAACTTTACTTGAGTATTTTAACGATATTTCAACTAAATTGCTTGGAAAACAAATAAACAACCTAGTAAAAATGTCGCTCTCCATTTCACGCAACATAAGCTTTTGAAATCCACAAGTATATATTTATATATAAATATATATAAACATCAGTTAATTCTGTATATTTTGAGTATAGGCAACTTTACTGTGTAGTGTAAAGGGGGATAAATTTGAGTCAAAATTTTAAAAATCGGGAAGTCTGTTTTCTTGTTATGCGCAAAACTACAGAAGATTGTGTGTTCTGTGCTCACCACTGGTATCAAAACACGATTTTTAGCATGATAAGCCCTCAGACGTACCGCTAGGCCATTGAAGGGTAAAATCGGAAGACATCATACATTTCAGCTCTTCATTATCATAAAGACACGTCATCCACATATACAAGTTTACTTTACTATAACATCAAACTTGTAGCAATTTTATTTCTGATATTTTGCACCTTTTATAGTT